TGAACAACAGGCACAATAACTGAGCTATGATTGCTACGGCAGTGATCTGATTCGAGATTGTAATTCTCTTTGCATATTTGCCTTTTTAGGCTCGTTTGAATGGGCTTTAAATTTTTTTTAATGCGTTGTTATCTTTTCAATTTTATTTTATTTTTCAAAAAGTTGAGTTATATCGCATGGGAATTAATATCTAAAAGGTACTTATAACTATAAAAAATATAATTTTGACTTTTTTTAAAAGTCATAAATCTTAGCTTCCAAAAAAAGTAATTTTTTTTAGGGTAATACTTCTCTCATTTAACATGAGAGAAGTTTATTTTCCTACACTAACAAGAAATGTGGAGCCCACAAGTTAAAAAAAATATAAAAGAAAAAAATTACAAGCACGTCTTTTTATGTCTAAGTGACATGAGATAATTATCTCCTACAGTTGGAGAAAATTATTTCCCTTTTTTTTTAATTTCATAAAAGTTGTATTGAGGGGTGTAAATATGTTAGGTTAGGCTTTGGCTTAAATATGCTAGATCTGTGTAAAAAATATTGAATCTGGTCTGGCCTGTTAGTTTGTGTAGGCCTCAAATTATAAGTTTGACATGACTTATATTTAAAAAATAAAAATCTTAGCCTAGGCCTGTTAGCCTGTTTAGGTCTATTAAACATTTAATAATTAAAATAGTGAAAAATGTGTATCATTTTAAAGGATGTAAAGTTGTGTCATTTTAAGTGAGAAAAAGAGATAGATAAAGGAGGAGAGAGTGGACAGAAAAAAATAAAGGTGTAGGTCTCATCTCATTGTGAGATTGAAAGTATATAAGTTGTGTCATTTAAAATGACAAACACTTTTTTGATTAAAATAATATTACTTTATTATTCAAACTTATTAAAATAATATTTTATTTATTTTATTTAAAATAAATAAAATGATATAGACCGGCTTGTAGGTTTATAGGTTCGATAAATACAAAAAAGCATAAGACTTGTTTTCTAAATAAGTTTTTTTTAAAAGCTTAAACCTGTTCTATTTTATTATTTGTAGTAGGTCAAACCTTACTTAATATAGGTTAAACTGTAGATCTTTCTAAACCGATTTAGTCTATTTACACCGTATTCAAATACACACATAAAATGAAAAAAAATCCATCCGTACTTTGAATTGCTTTTTTGAAATCCCACTTCAAGACCGTCTCATGGCGATGTGATAGTTGTTGGATTTAAGAATATGGTGGATTCATAGTTCGTTAATTATTTGTAAATATCATTGTCAGACTGGGGGAAATATCTTAACTTAAAATTGGGTAACTTTGCCTTCCTAGAATTAATTAATTTTTTTATTTTACGGAGACAATCATTTAAGAGTTTTATAGATCCAAGGTGAATTATAAAAAGATATTTATTGCAAGAGCACTTAAGCACAGCACTGAAATATATATTTTTAGGTGTAAGATCAAAGTTATTGTTTTTGTAATGTAATTTTTTTTATTAATCTGAATTTTTAAATATACGAGTAAAGCAATTATTAATTTTTTTTAAGAAAAATAAATAACTGATATTTTATTTAGTAAACAGAAAAAATGCACTGGATCAATTCAATTGCAAGCTGCTAGAGTTAAATGAAACGTATGATAATAATTTACGGGAAAAATGTGTATTATTTTAAAGGATGTAAAGTTATGTTATTTTAAGTGAGAGAAAGAGATAGATAAAGGATGAGAGAAAATGGACAAAAAAATATAAAAATATGAGTCTCACCTCTTTATAAGTGTAAAAAAATATAAGTTATGTCATTTAAAAGGAAAAACATTTTTATCATAATTTACAACTTTGTAAAGTCAAATACTGGGGGCATAACCACCTCGTTGTTGTTTCTTTTGCCCCAACTTAGAGCCACCTCAAACAGTGTAAAGATTGTCCTCGATCACTGAATCGAGTTGAGAGAGACAATGTCGTTAACAGATATCTGACTTGATTGAATATCTCTTAATTAATAGATCTATATGGCAGAGTTGTTATACTAAACTAAACTAAGTTTCTTTGTTGTTATTTTTGTCCTCCTTGAATTTCAATTTGGGGTGGTCTTCTGCCTCTCTGTCATTTTGCTAAGGTAAAGTCGGTGACCATCTAACAGATGTACCACATTATTATGGTCAATTATGAGAAGTTTGACAACCTTCGAGGCCCCATCATCAAGGTGCACTGAGTCGTTGCCTTTATTTAGCCTTAGAGAGTTGACCCCAAAATATAAAAAAGAAATATGTTGTCAGAGATATAATAAAATTATTTCCGCTAACCGCTTAAATTTTGAAAGAATTAATTGCCTAACATATGGTATCAAAACTTATGATTAACTAATTAGAGCTTGATCCTTATCTTTCCATTCTTCCAGTAAAAAAAAAAAATTGAGCATAAGAAAAAAAATGAATTTATACATTATTCACACTTTGAAGTTTAAATGGTCCTCGCTTGAGCGAATATGTGAAAATATATAATAAAAACATTTGCATCCTGTTAAATTCTAAAAGACCGTATTACTATACCGAATAATATGTGCTTAGAGATACTTAAAAGGTAGGTACCGTAGTTGGCTTAAAGCCAGTATCCCAATCACTGCGCACAAGACGTAAGTGTGTGCACAGTGTTGGCAACAATAGTAAATAAGTCAAAAAGTGTGTACCTGGGATCTTTAATCTCTTATTTATAAGTGTTACCTCTAGGATTTATGTAGATCTCTCAATTATAGTAGGATTCAACTTCATTTCTGTTGAGATAAGGATTATATCCTAAGTATCTTTATTGTTTAATATTGTTAGGATAATGAGTATCTATGCTTTAGTGGACTATTGGGTGGATAGTTAGGATATGATATATATCCATAACACATCCCTTCACCTAACAACTAAAATGTTTTTGTTTAACATGAAACAAAACATCAAAATTTATTTTCTATAAGTATAATTGATAAATTTTTATTACTAATAGGTTTGCGTCGCAGCACTTTTGCACAACACTGAGATAAATGTATGTAAATGGATCAATGTACATTAATTTATCACGTTTCAAGTCAAAAAAAAATTTTACATCATTAAATGAATTTTCATTTAATCATTATATAGGGCATTGGATTAGCACATGTAATAATAAGTGGCTCGACGTATGATTTTTCGCGAATGATGTAGTATGAGTTATGACTCTATGAGTATTGAAAGGAGGAGTAAATTGTGTATAATAACTTAAGATTCAAAGGGTTTTTTTTTGGCAGGCAAAAGTTTGGAGAAGGGAAGTTCTCCCATACCAAAATTACGGTAAGCCTCAATAAGGAATCACTTCGAAAATTATAGATCTGACTTATTAAAAATGAAGGATCGTTAAAACAGGATGTGAAACCAAGACCTTTAAGAAAGACAACATAGGATTCAAGATCGATAAAGGAAATGTAGAAATGCGTGTAAGTGACTATTAAACTCAAACGAAAATTCCGTCATATAACGGTGAACTATTAAAACAAATAAAAGAAAGGATTTGCTTTTTCTAAAGCTATTGCAGTAAGTCCAATACGATGTCGTTTTGAGGCGGAAATCATGGTATTTTTATAATTTTAATTTATTTCAGAGTTATTATAGTCTTTATAAATATAATTTTTTAATCTTTCAGTTTCAAAACGACGTCGTTTTGGAAATAAATGCAGATAACTTATCTGCATTAACTGCAGAAATATTTTTTTGATAAATAAATAATTAAATAAATGTGGATGTTAAGGTGAATGAATAAGTATGTATGAAAATAAAAAATTATGAGCATATGTTACAAAGTAAAAATGAATCAAATGGAAGATAGCACAATTAAAACAGGATAAGAATAACATAAAATAAAATAATAGTACTAGTAAAAAAGAAGTTGATATAAATAAGTTTAATAAAAAAAGTTTTTAACATAGTTAATGTTGTAGATTAACTCACAATCAAATTATATTATTATTATTATTATTATTATTATTATTATTATTATTTGTTGTGATATTCGGATACACAGGAAGAGAATTTGGTTTTCATGGTACATAACCTAAGCAATTTTGCCTTAAGGTCAGGAGCCTAAAATCAAATCCCATTTTTCTTCCGGCAGCATTACTCTTGTAAAGTTTTGTTATGTAATGTCCAGCAGTTACATTCATATAGGGATTTTTTTATTTTAAAACTTTCATGTTTAAATAATTATACTTTTACATAAGTAGAGACAAAAGTTACAAAAGGTTATGCTGAATTCATGTAAAATTCATTAACTGCGCAGGTGAGAGACATTAACAAAGTTTTCCAAGAGAAATATGGAATAATTAGATTGGGAGCACGCACAGAACCCCACCACCATTAACTAGCCCATCATGCCAGGACTATCTGAAAAACGCCTCCACCCCTCATATCAATTTCCACCCATCTCTTCATCTTGGTACTAAAGCTCTAAAGCATCCAAAAAGGATAAAGCTTCGGTAGAGGGTCATGTACAAGAATGCAGAGAATAAGGAATGGAATCCTTCCTTGTTTCTTTTTTACTTCTTTTTATTAACCCAAAAGTGAAAAAAGCAAACCTCTATACAAAACCAAAGCATCCAAAAAGCAACCCCTATTTGACTTCACTCTCATCTTCTAACTCATTGCAAGAAATTGCTAATAAAAACCACTTTTGTCACTTAAATAAAGAATCACATGGCATTAGGGGCCCGCATTAAAAAATTATGTTCGAGATCATATGGTGTGATTCTTTCCAAGTACTAACTATACTCTTTTCCTTTCCTTTCCTTTTTCCCTACAACCTCTGATAGATATAGCTTTCCAAGAACTCCGCAAGAGCATAACAGGTGATTGATTCTGATCATATTAGTAGGACATATTACAAATTAAGAGCAAAAACATACTACAAATAATAGTAGGATTAGGAGTATATACGTTACACACACTCAAGAATAATCCCCGCTCAAATAACATTATTGCTTGATTAAGTGTTTAATGGCATAATTTACAAGTTTTATCACTAACAAAAAAAGAAGAAGGTAAAAGTATGAGAGGAAGCAGGAGTTCAACAAATGGATTCATTGAAAATATGAAAGTAGTTAAAATACAAAATACTGAGTAGCTTCATGTACCTCTGGCTTTATTCATCCATGGCAAAGTTGCAGTGACAGTAGAATTATTGAAGTGGGTCTCTAATGAACTTGTTAACTTATCTTTCCTAGACCATTGCCAGATCTTGGAAACAGAAAAGCTTTCACCTTTTCTTGCAATGTTGATTTTTTTGCCCTCAACATCCCCATCAGTGCAAGAACTCTCATTAGGGGCTGCTCTTCCTTTCAGTTGTCTCATACTGCTACTTGTACCTCCATCACCTCTATTGGGGCATAAAGCCACTCGCAAATCTGAATCAGCAACCACATACTGAAAAGACCCCATTGAATAGCATCTCCTTACATCCAAATTACCATTACTGCTCTCTCCTTCACTTCTTTCCACCACATCTCCATTATTTGAGCTTCTAAATTTTCCAAGCCTGACAGAAAACACCCTTTTCCCATTCATTATGTGATTTTCTGTGGTTTTGTTAACAGCAGCAACCCCACCCCCACCACTTCCTGAAACCCCATCTTCCTCACGTGGACCTTCAAAGTCAAAAACTGGGTTTTCAAGGGCAAACCCTGGCGTATAAAGAGTCCCTCTACAGAGAGGACAAGTTGAGTTAGACAGCAACCATGTGTCTATGCAGTCAATGTGAAAAGCATGATTACATATGGGTAGCAATCTCAACTTGTCTTGTTCCAAGAATTCACAGAGGCAAACAGCACAATCAAATGGCTCTTTCAAGCCTATTATCTCTTTGTAAAAGAAAACAGGTAGAGCATCTATGAAAGCCTGGTCCAGGCCTGAATCATGAAGATGGAAGAGCTGCTGTAACTGTCTCTGGTAAGCATTGGATTCAGACATGTCTGCGTATCTATTGGACTGAGAAATTGATGAAGACCTGTGCTTTATGAGAAATCTAACAAGCAAGTGAAGGAGACCCAAGATGAAAAATACAACAGCTAAAATGACTATGATGAAAAGAATTGCAGGGCTTATTCTATTCCCAGATGAAGAAGCTGGGGATGGAGCTGATTGTATCTGGTAGTTAGAACTATAAGGTAATGAGGTGGAAGAAGAAGAAGAAGAATATGGAGAAAGAATAGGGGAACTGGCACCATTGCTCTGGCGGATTTGAAAGTGAATCAAATACATTTTCAGAATATGGTATTCCAAATTCAAATTAGACCATGTCTAAATTTTGAACTTATAATCAGAGAGAGTGTCAACTATGTGCTGCATCTGAACAAAGTTATAGTCTTTGTTTGTTTTGGGATTAAACCCAACTCTCACATTGTGAAAATCAAGCAATAGGCACATGAAGAAGGAGAAAATGAGAGACCAAACTAAGAAAAAATAAAAAAGAAATCAAATTGACTCAAAATTTTCTATTGGGTCTTTCGAGTGGCAACAGCATAGCATTGAAGGAAACATGCTTGAGAAATGTCAACGTTGCAGTTAACCTACCTTAGTTGTTGAACATTTGAAAGCTCACCAAAAACCTGAGTTAGCTCTCTCTCTCTCTCTCTCTTACACAGGTTCTCCCAGAAAAAGAAAAACCTAATGATACCAATATGTAGACTGTAGAGTGCATCTAACTGTGTCTTGCTCCAAATCCAATACCAATACTAGCCATGGGAAAACGAGGTCACTTCCAATAATCCCAAGTTATTGGGTTCCCTACAACTGCAGACTACAGTACTTAGCATAGACCTGACCAAAGAAGGCAAAAGGTAAGGCAAATTTGTCATTTTCTCGTTTGACAAGTGGAGTGTACTATTAAACACATGTCTCACAGTTTGTTGATTTCGAAATAAATGTTTGTTCTTAAAGCAAACTCTTCCAAAAGTTTCTATTAGGCCCAAACTGAAGCCCGCACATTGAGCCCAAACATAGAAAGGTCTTTACTGTTTAGAACCACATGTGGACTGTGGTATTGTCCACCTCTTTTTTATTCGGACCCACTGCACTGTGTCTTTTTTCTTTTGGGCCTTTGGGTGGCCTTATTGTTTTGTTGTTGTTGTTCTACAAAAAATTTATTATGTTCTAGCGGCACCATTATCCAATGGTTCCTTTTTTATGGATGGATTTTTTTTTTATTTCTATCTCTTCCTTTTTGATTTTTTTCCCTCTCAATTTCTTTTTTTATTTTATTTTGGGAGAGAACCATCTTACTCCCACCCTATCAAAAAATTTATATTGTTTCCAGCCTTGAACTTAAATAGTATTCTTCACTCTCCATTTTTGCATGTCTCCATGCAATCGCGTATGATATTCATTGCATGATATTCATTACTAATAAACACTGCCTTGTGTTGTTTCCTTTTTAAAATCTAAATTATGTTATATTTATTAATTAATTATTAATTTTAAATGAACTACAATTATCAAATGGACATAAATCAAAGATAAGGAATAAGACTTTCTAACTTACACTAAAGTCAAATAATCATGCCTTTTATATATATATATATATATATATATATAGTGGCGGACCCAGAAAAATGTCTTTATGTCCGCATATTTAGTTGCGGCCCGAAAAAAAATTTTTGTAAAGAAAGTTTAAATTAACGCTTGAACCCGCTCATAATCTAGTTGCTTCCATAACAAGCTGCAGGCAATAGTTTCACCAAATTTTTTTTTGTAAAGAAAGTTTAAATTAACACTTGAACCCGCTCATAATCTAGTTGCTTCCATAACAAGCTGCAGACAATAGTTTAATCATCTCCGTACGTTGCTAATTAATATAAGAATAAATATCTTTTTTGTTCCCTAACAAAAAATTCGGTCTCCACTTTAGTCCATTATAAAAAAACATTAGTCACCTGGTCCCTGTGAAATTCAAAGTGGACCCATTTTGGTCTTTTTGATGGACTAATGTAGGTCTTTTTTGAATTTGTGAGGGAACATGATTTTACCTAAATTGATCCACTTTGAATTTTTTAAGGACCTCGAGACTAATTTTTTTTTGTAAGAGACTAAAATAGAGATCATATTTTTTGTTTGGAACTTAAAATGGTATTTACTCCTAATATAAATATTGAATCAAGAGAAAAATAAGTACCTGTAACAAAGAAAAATAAAACTAAGTTCAAAAGTTTTATGTCCGCACTGGCGGACATTTGCCCCAACATGGATTTGCGGGTGTATATATATAAACAAAATGTTAGAATTCTAGGTTAGATGAGCATAAAATGTTAGAATCCTTAATGTAGGTTAGATGAGCATAAAAAGAACCAACTGTTCCAAATTAGTTGAAAAGTTTTAAGCTGGAAGCATATAATTAACACGAGCACATGAATTAGTAGAAATTATACCGAAACTGATGCGAGTTTCTAGTGCTAATGCTAGCTAGTGTACGTGTCGAAACTTATAACATGTAAACATACACAAAAATTATACACATTTAATAAGTTCCGAGACAGCAATTCTATTTTTTGGTATGAGAATAGAAGTTATGACTTCTACACCAACACCATCCCATTCTTACCACACTTATATATAATACTTACTACAACATAGAAGTCAAAACATTAAATGACTAATTGTTATTAATATATATCCGAAGGAAATTAACCAGCAACCACCATTAATTAAGACTAGTTTAACAACGGAGAGGTGGTATAGAGGGGTTTTTGTCACAGCACACCGACTTCTTTTGAAGAACTGCGTAGTGTAGGTCGCCCAGTGGAAGATTTAGAGTTCTGGAAACGAAGAAAATGGTATTGAGATAATCGTTCTCCATATAAGTTCAACACATCTTGAACCGGATTTGATATAAAAAAAAAAAAAGAAGGCAAATCCTTAGTTTTTGCTTAGGAGGGAGGTTATGTGTTTATCATGTGTTACTTTAGATCGTTAAGGATTTAAAATTGAAAAGTATTAAATTAAAAAAAGTAAATTTATAATGTATTAAATGTTGTATTTTTTATATTTTAAATGAGTGTTTTTACGATAGTGGTTAAGACAGAACCCAACGTCCCTACCCTTAAAGTTGACGACGTAAGCAAATTAATACTACCTTGACCAATCATGCTTTAATCTTTCTCCCTTCTCTTAGCTATTATTATTCCTTACCGAAATGATGAACTTCCCCAAGTTTCTTTTGGGAGTGTTAGAGCACTTTTCCCTCTCTTATCTCATCATCAATGAATGGTTGTGATTAAATAACATGATCACATGATCACTTTTTCACATGAGAGGATCCACTCCCAGTTTCTTTACCCTTCTATTTATGTTTTGCCTTACCCTAAATGATTGACATTCCATGGATCTCATTGATTAATGCTGCAATCCTATATATCCATACAGCTGATATGTCAATAAAAGCCAGTTTTCAGTTTTGCATACCAATAATGCTAAAACCTTAGAATTTGTCAAAATTTAAAAATAATAGTTAGATAAATCAAAGTAGTAAGAAATTCTCATCAATCCATGGATAATAAAAATGCCAACTCATTCATATAACAATTCTAGCAATAAATAAATAAAATTATGGCTGTTAAGTATTTTTATTTAACTATGTGCCTAATTAAATGCTTATGGCAGATGCCGCAGTGTCTTCCTTAGATATTCACATTAATGCGACTATATATACGTACTCAGATACTGTATAGTTTCTCCATAAATCTATGAATCTGTAGCGATACCATAAACAAAAGTTCTAGGCAGAACTAAATGAAATCCTAAGTAACTCAAACATTCCACCGGCTACAAAGCATGGTACTGTAATAGTAATACCAAGTGTTTATCAGGGTAACCAAATGTTCTGAAAATTGACAAGTTCGAATTTTCAACCCTAGAAATGTTATTTGAACTTTTAAGTGCAAAACATCGGTAAAAATTCCAAATGAGTGTACATAATCTTTCTGCCGGTGAAAACACAGGATACTGTACAGAGGGGGAAAATGAGAACAAGGAGTAAGGGAGAAAAAAATCAAAAAGAGAGTGAAAGACTAATTAATTTAATTCCCATATGTGCTGATGTTAATTGTATATTATATCTTAACCTCAGAAAAACTGTTTGATATCACCCATTTCTAAACTATCCATGACATTAATTCTTTTTCTAAAAAAAAGTGACACACACCCCACAAAAATTTAAAGCATCGGAGACATCTCAAATTAACAAATTGCAATCCGCTATTTTTTAAGCTTACAATACAAAAGCATAAATATATATAGAAAAAGAAAATAACTTACACTAAACTATAACAAAAGAAGATATAGAGAAATGCTGGAACAACACAATGACATAATTTGATGCTACAAGCTGCCAATAGTATATGTTTATTGGGAAATGATCCGTTTACAAATTTTATTTTAGAAATTACACCAAATATGACTAGTCATACACTCTTGAATATTGAAGTAAGACCTATCAAATATAATATAGTTTGTAAATATAATATTATGGCTTAAATATATTGGAAAGAGCCTGCAACACATTAAGCTGAAACCTCAGTTGCAAGATGTGTTCGGCCGTCCGGTAGAAAAGCAGTTCCGGCTTCAGCCTTCTTCCGCCGGGAACCAGCTGTTGCAACTTCTTCATCTTCATCTCAACTGCGCCACCACCACCCTCCCTCCTCCTCCTCCTCCTCCTCCTCCACTTCACCTTAGCCAAATCTTTGCAAACCATTAAAATTGCATACACCAAACCAATCCCAAAAAATAATAATGAATCCACACCTTCACGAAGAGAGAAAGAATGGACGCGCGCATTTGTGAGAGAAGAAAGAAGGTTTGTGGGAAGAGGGAATGTGGAATGACAGAACTATAAATTAAATGAATGTCTTAAAAACAAGGGGCGTTATACGACGGGTCATGTGAGCCGAGCCGAACTGAACTGAACTGAGCCGCACTGTTGTGGTTTTCTTTTCGGTTTTTTGTTCTGGTCCTATAAATCTTGTTTCGACATTTGGACTCACACGCTTGGTTTAGTTTGTCGTTTGCTTTAATGGGCCCGGCCCAATCTCGTCTCTGACAGCTTCCTCGTACGCGCGCGCACTATTCAGTTACTGTTACAAACTAATAATCTTTCACAGACAAATTTTTAATAAATATTTAATTATTGTTCAAATTAAATAGATAATTATTTAATGTATGTTTAACTTTATTTATTTATTTTACAAATTATTATCAAAGTATTTTTAAAATAAAATTATTTAAGAATATTCAATTTATTTATAATCTCATAAAGTATTATAGGATGACTTAGATTTAAAATTTAATAATTATATGAATTTATTTTCTTTATTTGTAACAATATTTAAATCTTTTAAATTTATTCATATAAATAAACTAAAAAATATCATTATATTAATTTTGACATGTTAATTGAATTTTTTAAGATATGAAAAATATTTATAATTGTTATTATTATTTTTTTTATAAAAGTTTTTAATCTGATCTTAATTATATTTTGATATTTTTTCTGAAAGATATCATATACTAAAAAATATATTTGTTTATTTCTTAAAATATTGACACGTATGATGCCAATATTATGATGTACGTAAAATATAAATATATTATTAATATAAAATTTAATATCATTTAATTATTATTATATTCAAATAAACTATGACGTAAGTGGGC